AGGAAGTGATTCGTTTTGACCACATTTGGAAGGACATCACTTCAAGAGGCTCAACAGCAAGGACTTCCGGAGGACCTCAAGGAGATGAAGAAGATGACTCTGCTCATGTTGCTGAGCGAGAGATGACATGGTTCATTCAGAATGTCAACAACCTGGTTCTCAACCCATGGATGGTATATGACATTGGCATGGTATCACTCCATGATCGCATAGGAACACGTGTACTCCAGAGCACTGGAGAAGACGTGATTCTAGTGAGGGATTGGGACAGGTTGACAAGACACCAGAGAGAATATTTTTGTAGAAGATACAAGTTGTTACGTCCAAGTGTTTATGGAACAGAGGAAGACCCCAAGACGTATGCACCGAGTTTTGAACCCGGAATTTCTCAGTGGATGGAGTTGGCACAAACTGGATACCAACAGTTTTTCTTCATCCGTGCTTGGGAGAATGGACGCCGCTGGGCTGAAATTCTGACAGACCATGGTATTCAATCCATAGAACTTTCAAGCTTCTTGGATATGTGCAGAGATCCCAAATTGCTGGGTTGGAACTTTGGTATTCCAGAACCTCAGTGGGATAATTTTGGCAACACAGTGGAGGAAGCATTCAACAATCCCTTATTTGCCAAATTGCACTATCGCTTCAAGCAGGAGGAAGAGATTGGTCGTGTCATGCACCTTGTGTCTGAACTTGTTTGTGACTTTTTCATCAAGGTGCTTCCCAAGTGGGTTCTTGACCACTCGATCTTGTGGGAAGAGTTTATGATTTTGGATCCAGACACAAATCTCCCAGCCTACAAGACCTCAGAGGCCGCCTTACAAGCAGAAGTGAATCCAGAGAAGTATCATACACATTTTGCTATGAACTTCAAGAAATTCAGGTTTTCTGCAAGAGTGGTGTGGTATTTGATTGACCGTGACAGGAATCATTTAGAGAGTTTTCTTCACAACTCCAATAGCAGATTTGTGCAACATGCATGCTATCAACTTCGTGAATATGTTCAGTCACGTGTTGCAGTTTCTGATCCCTTGTATGAGATGATCAAGAAGGAAGAGTTTGAACGCCAATACAATTCCAAGTTTTTGGAGGCGATTTCTTGCTCTCGTGTTGTAGTTGAGCCTGTAAGTTCAGGGACGTATGAGCCATCATCGAAGCTGAACTTAAAGGTACTACAAAACATTCTGAAGGGTGTCTACAAGATCCAGAAGAATGAGGAGCTTGCCAGAGAACGTGAGGAAGAAGAAGAACAGGCAGCTCAAAACATCTCAAACTTGTTAGCAGATGATATGGAGCTTGATTTTGATGATGACGACGTACCAGTATGGCGCTCCATTGTCAACAAGTATAGAGAAGGTGATCAGGTGCTACAAAGAGAAGCAGTGAAGATTATTCATCTTTTCAAGGACAAAAAGGACAATGAGAAGGCAACAGAAGTTTTTAGTTCAGAGAGGACAGATTTTCATGAGACCTCAGAACCTCTTCCAAGGACCATGGGAGAAAATCTTGTAGAGGACTTGCTCACCAAGAATGTCGCAGAACAAGCTTTTGAGGCAGGTGAAGAAGTTCCTCCTTACACAAGAGTCTCCACTATCGCTGGTGGAATCTACACTGGTAGTCTGATGTTGACGAAAGATGAAGATATGGAAGAGGAAGTTCCTGAAGAAGATCCTGCAGTTGAACCTGAGAAAGATGAAGAAATGTTTGATGAGAATGCAGGTGCTTTTCCTTCAGAGGGACCAAAGATGGAAGTTGACCAGGAGGAAACCAAGGAGGAGTCAGCACCACACTTTCTGTCAAGAGAGATAGGTGAGGACTCAGCTGCATCGTACTTACCATCAGGTGAGAAGGATGCTAACCTTGAGGATACTTCAGGTCAGCGGAAATCTAAGAAAAGCCGCCTGAATAAGATTCCTGATCCTCATTTTCATGAAGAAGTTCAGGATGATGCAACTCTTGAGGAGAAGAAGAAGGCGGTGAAGAAGATAAGAGAGGTCAGAGAGGATGATGGAGAGAAGAAATTGGAGGCTGAAATCCAAGAATCTTTTCCATCTGAAGTAGTTGTTGATAACGATCCTGTGGATGCTGACAATACCTATGAGTTGCATACCTCACCTTTGAGGTTGCTTGGAGAGCTTACAGAAGTCCCAGGTATTGGCTTTTATCAACTATGCTTCAGGGAAACTCACGCGAGATTGCTGAACCATGTTTGTTTCAGAAAAGGTGAGATTTCCCATCCTCATTTTCAGTCGAGGATCAACGAGGATGATTTTGTTCGATCCATTCGAAATGTCTGTCCAGTACCTCCACCGGATTGTTATGAACACGACTCAGAGCATGATTTGAAGAGGTTTTTCATCAATGATGACCGCATCAGTTATTTGGATGGCAAGTATAAGGTCGATCCAAAGTCCTTTAAAAGGGCAGAGCATGCTCGAGAAGAATTGGAGGATACGAAGAAAGAACTCAAGAAGGAACAGGAATCATATGGTCCCAATGGACCCAATTGGGACTTTGTCACCTTCTATGAAGAGCTGTGCAGAAGGTTCCTCAAGGGAAGAATAGAAGAACAATATGGAACCAACTTATCGGCCAGCTCAGAGTCCTTGACGTTTTTATCCTGGAACTATGGTAACATGGTTCGTGGTCAGAAGTACACCACACCAAGGTTTCTCCAAGGACTTGATAGTGCCATGAGGCCACGCAAACAGAGCGCCATGTCACTTCAATACGAGCAATTTGAGAACAACCTTTTCTTCAATATGCTCTTCTTTTTACGTGCACATGTCGTGATTCTCCAGGAAGCTCATCTTCTTGTTCCTGCCAAGGAATTCATTGAGCAAAAGAATTGGACAGTTTGTTTCAATGATTGGGAGAATCTTGCAGTGATGGCTAGATTGGCACCAGGTGGATATGTCAAGATCATTGCTGGACATGACCAAGATCTTGGTCATTGTGAACAGCGTGATGTAACTTGGGCTATCTACGAGATTTGTTTTGGAAAAACAAGGCCTCGTCAAGAATTCAAGGATGCAGACTTTGAGTTTGATGACTATGGTCCTGAGGACCAGCGTGTTCCACTTACTCGATCGAACATGCATACCATCAGAGTCTGTAATTATCATGTTGACACACACCGTGCTGTGGATGCCCACCTACTGACAGGAGAACAGACAGCATTGATGCTTTATGAGTGTTTTGTCTATGAGGTGGACATCATTTCTGGTGATGCAAATAGCTTAGCCTACAGAATGTCTGGATACAAAAGGCAGCCAATGGCTAACTATTATTACAGCACCATGCAGCATTGGATCCGCAGATTTTCAGAAGCCCGTGTAAAAGCAGATCCTGGTATCAAAGCACCTATTCCCAGAACATTTTACAGTTCATCTTCACAAGTCCTCAAGCAGTGTGAAGATTACTTTGAGAAACTCTGGGAAGAATACTCTACAGAAGAGAAAGAAGAGTACCAGGGATCAAAGCTTGGAGATACATGTTTGTCTACCATTGTTGAATGGGGTCATTCGATGAGTGAAGAGGAATATGAAAATTCCACAGTGAGCACGAAGGAGTTCATCTGTAATTTTTCAGAGAACTTTGCTATGATTGACACAGAGGTTATGTGCTCAAGGCCCACTGACGAGGACAGTCATGGTCCAATGTTTATTTCACTCAGACCAGCTTCCTCTTCATCTGGAGACAGAAGACAGTATCGCATGGGAGCAACTCTTCATGAGGCGAAACTGCGGAGGAAGGAGAGACAGAAGAGAATAAAAGGAAAGGAAGGCCGCCAACTTCTGATCAAGCAGCTTCATCGACTGCAGCGGCATGAAACTCAGAGCGGAAGCTAACTTTTAATGATGGATAGGAAGTGAAGATACTTCTGATCACAGTTGATACTTTGCTTCCAAGCTTGACTTTAAGTTGCCAGGCTAAAGTTTTAATGAACTCTGGTTTACAACAAGGAGAAACTTTTTGTCAAAGAAGATACTCCTGCATTCCAGGTTTATACGCTTTAGCATGCAGATAGGTATGGACAGTTTTGCATAACTGATGATATCTATCACAGCCGCTTTTTCTGAGGTGACCTCTAATGGACAACCATTCATGGTTGATGATTAAGTCATTTCATAAGTTTGCATTTGTAGTGCAAGTTTTGTACATACATTTGACGGTGTCTCCTTCCTTTTTGTTTTTGGTGTCAATGAGAAAGAGTCCTTTTGATGCAGTGTATGGAAGCGGCCGAGACCACTTGTAGAGAAGAACATTCCTCGGGCCGAGAGTTGACGCTCCTTGCATTTTGCAAGGCATCCTAATTCATTGCAATTTGTGCGGTCTTGAATTTTTAGTTCTTCGTTACGCGAGTGTCGTTTACTGCTTTTACAGGTCTCTGTGTAAGAAAGCCGCTTTCCCTTGAATTTAAGTTTCTTTTAAGCTCTAGCTTTGTAAGGGCTATTGAGCGCCGGTATACGGTATCTTCGCCGGTTGAACAATACAGTCTCCAGCCGAGATACATCGTCGTTGACTTTGTAGTTGAGGTGAGTCAGCTATTGCTCCCTCACTGTATTTAGTAGACCTTGAGATTACCTTTTCTATAGTATGAAACATACTAGAATTGGTAAGTACAAGGCACCGTGGTTTCCTTTTAAGCATTAGAGCTGCTGGACTGCTTTAGCCTTGCGGTAGAAAAAGAGTATGCGACATACGCAATAGGCAGGAGTGGACATGAATTTTGTGCCTGTTGAGATGTATAGGCATACTTGTACAGGTTCCACTCCAGTGGCCTATCTAGTGTGTCCATGCTTGACTGCCATAAGGCTCAAGGGATATAGGATAAGACTCTGCGTGAGCAAAAGACACTAGCGGTCTGCACCTCTACCGTGTACGCCCTAGTCACTCTTTCACCCCCCCTCCCCGGCCCTGGGTGGGAAGGTAGGGGTGGGCATCCCCAACCCCCCTCCGGGTTTGAAAATTAGGAGACCCTTCGGGGGCGGCCTCAGGACAAGATCAAGGATTTTGACGCGAGCCAAGAGAAAAGTTTTGGAGCTGGATGGGTTGCTAGGCAACATTTCAGCTCTGGGAATTTTGCCGGCTAGGCGTGAGAAGTACTATCGAGGGCTGATCAGTGTGCACATTGCAGTTCAGGCATGCAGTGTCACCGCAGAGTGGCAATCCACATCGATATACGCTGATCTACCTACATGGCTTAGGAGGCCGAGGGTACGGCGGTCGCGAGCTGATACTACTGGTTGCGGGTGGTGGGTTGCTTTCGGATGTGTATGATCATAATAGATGTTCTTGCTTGTTGTGTGTCTTCAAGTTCCTTTTGCTAACGCTACTGGTAGCCACAATATGCCACGATTACAATATATAACTATATATACATTGACACACATGCCGTAGGTTGGAAGTCTCGAAGCCGACAATTAAAGTTGAGTTCTTGGAATAGATGGACTCTAGCTCTTGCTGGGTGTCTTGTTTGAGCGAGCTCCCTCAGGCCAACAGACGCAGTTCGGCGCAATGCTTCGTCTTCGCCAGGTTGCGGTGCAGACTACCTCCATGCTGACAGTGAGCTTTGTTGGCCTTGGCGCTTGGGGCCCTCCTATGCGCCCGGCCTTAGTTCCTCAGACCCGAATAGCACCAGACTTCTGAGGACACTTGCAAATACGTTTACGTACATGATCTACCGGACCCATAAGCATATATGGACGACCAAATCCATAGCGGATGGTTCAAGACCATAGTGACCCTGTCAAGAGGGGTCAAACAGCAAAAAATTACTGTATGTTTTATAATGTTTGTTACCTAGGCGCAGATAGGTAGATTTTCCAGTCCTGTGTTATCATGTTTTTGCGAATTGTTCCGAGGAGCCGTATTTCCAAGCGCCCCGCTGCAACAGCAGCCATGGGGCGAGACATTGCCTTCATGGAGACTTGGCCGCATGCGCTGGGCTCCACTTGATGGCTGTTTTGGGCCAAGCTAAGCAATGTAAGCACAATCGTGACAGGCCCCTTCACTGCCACGGCTTTGGATTGGCATGTGTTGATAGTTTTGCACTCGGTTTTAACTTAATGGGTTGGCCGGGGCCGGGGTGTCCCTTTTAATCGCGCGAATGGTGCAATGGTTCCCACCGGTCATTTGCCTACTTGCAGGCCTTTGCAATAAAATAAAAGCAGTTGCATAGTCGCTCGTTGTAGCATGAGTTGCCAGCCAGTTGGCTCTTGGAAGAGAGGCGTTGCCGTGAACAGCCCAGGTATCAGTACCAAGGCATCGCCAGCAATGAGGCTGATATGGACTGAATGGACTGAGGAAACAATCAGCCGTTGCCAAAGCAAGAAATGATGAATGATCGGAACGGAATACATGAAGGGGGCGGAGCGCTGATAAACAACCCAGTCCAATTCTTGATGGAAACTACCTACTATTGCTGTACTGTACTACTACTGACGCGAATGTCATGCATTTACTAAAAGAGGGGCACTTGCACCTTGCAGGTGAATCCATTACACCTCAGCAACACAAGTCAAGAGATTTCGTTTCACGGTTGGTTTTCCAGGTGAGCAAGTCCAGTTTTCAAGTTCCTTCTAAACATACATGGGGTGTCAGCAAAACAATGTGCTTTGCAGGAATGTCTCCAAGATGGTATGTTTTTGTTTTGGTGTTGGTGCTGTTGCTGTTGCTGTGGTTGTTGTTGTTGCTGATGCTGTTGTTGTTGTCGTTGTTGTTGCTGCTTGTTGCTTGTTGTTTGTTGTTGTTTGTTGCTTTTGCTGCTGCTGTTGTTGCTGTTGTTGGTTCAGTGCTCCCGGCTGAGATGATGAAGAATAGCAGTCGCACCAAACCATGTCAATCTGAACGCATGAGCTGCGAAGCCACTGGGCGACGAAGCCAGTCTGAAAGCAGCGGATGTGATCCCTTGGGTTCTCCAAGCGTGACAGCCAGATCTCCCAAGTGATTTCCAGGAAGCATGTTGGCATCCGTAGGTCCGTAGGTCCATGAAAATCTGACGAATTGCCAAAGGTCGTAAGGTCACAGGGAAGGATGACGACAAGAGTGACAAAAGCGTAGGGGCTGCCAATGGCACGGGCAAAACTGGCAAACAAAGGAGGTAAATGGAAGGAGGCCACTCCCAAACGACTGGCTAACAATCAAATGGCTGACTGCAAGTTCACAGGGTAACTCTGAAAATTGCACCACCGGTCCTGACACCTTTGAAGCATCTCGCAAATCGAAAGGGTATGCAGCAGGCCAGTGCCTGCAGCAACTCGTAGCGGCACATGACCACAACACCACAACATAAATCAATATACATCAATTAAATCAACACAATACCACACATGAGGCCTTGAGGTTTGAGCGTACACCCCTCTACAAACACGAATGCTCGGACTTGTTGTCCACACTGTAAACAATGGAAAACACTTCTTTTATTTATTGCCCCAGTTTTCCATTTTGCCAGCTCGCGATGCCAGAGCAGCTGGCTGCTGTCCAGGAGGCCCTGGACGAGGCCAGAAAATCCATGTCGGAGGAGTGGATCGGTATAATTGGAGGATGGTGTTTGGTGCATAGCTCCGAACTATCATGGATAAAACGTAGCGTGGCATGGCATAGCCTGGCGACATCGTTTCACTCAAGTGCTTTGTTCAGGATCCACTACAAGCGCTAGTAGCAGCCAAACCAAAATTGATCAACTTGCATTTTTAGGAAGAAGATGGAAGAAGCACTGCTGTGCCTGCTATGCAGGTGATCCGGCAAGAAATTGAGCGCCTCGAGGTGCTGGAATTGTTTCGAAGTTTACAGTAATTTCTAGCTTGACCCAGTGACAACAGACATGTGACAACAGGCTTTTCACTAACTGTTTGTTTGTCCACTCCAGTTCAAGTGCCTTGGGCTGGCGACGCTGGGCTGTTGTCGCGCGCTTCGCGAAATTGGTCGAGTGTTTTGGCTTCAGGAGGCCTCCTACTTCTTGTTTTTTTCTAGGGCATTCGTGAAGCAGCTACCGGTAGTTGATGTGCGGTCTCTAAGCATCAAACATCATCAAACTAACGCGGATGCCCTTTGGAGAAGACAGACTGATGGATTGGCTGATCACGAAAGGTAGCTTTAGCTACCTGAGTTCTATTAACCTTAGCTTTTGGGGCAGGGTCCTCCCACACGCCATGACTTTGGGGTCGCGAAAGGCGACCGGGACGGGTGAATTTTCCTTCAATTGTACTGTGGCTTCCTGTGATTGGAATCGTATCGAGCTTCTCCTTCCTCCTCGTCATTTGGCTGCTGCTTTTCCTGCTGCTGCTTTGCTCCTGCTGCTGCTTTTCCTGCTGCATCCTGCTGCTGCTGCGGCGAATCCCACAGATCTCTCTCTCTCTCTCTCTCTTTTCCTCTTTTTTTTCTCTCTCTCTCTCTCTTCTAACTTATAACCTACCTTTCGTCCACCCCTCAAGTTCTTCAGGCACCTGGCTGCGTCTTTCTCGGAGGAGTTTCTCAGGGGTGCAATGTTGCGCTACTGGTCAGAGAAGACGTTGTTCTATTTCTTGACAGGTGTTGGATTTGTATGGAATTGTGGCGTGCTGCTATGCTGGAATCCATTTCACTTGTCTGAGGCTAGATGCTTATTTGCGGTGTCCTGGGTGCAAAGGAGATCTGGAAGAACTGTATTTCACATGTGTTGATTTTGTGGAGCATTGCTTGGCTCCTATCTCACTACTTTCGAGAGGTTTTGACTCTGCGGGGTCAAGAACTCATACTCATATGATGTTTTGGCGTCCAAGAGCCATCCCGCGCCTCATGCACAATGTTGCACAAGTCCCTCTGGCCCTCGTGCTTCATTTGGTTCGGCTCCTCTCATTTTTGGTGGGTGCTACCTATCCCATCGTAGCGAGCCTAGCCATGCGCCAACATAGCACTCCAGAGTATCCAAAATGGCTAATGGTAGCTTTATTTTTACTAATAGCTTCTTGCTCCTAGTAGTAAGGCCGTAGTAGCGTCCTTGCTCCTAGTAGCGATGCCCTTTGCTCCTAGCAGCGTCCTCGCTCACGCTCTGAGACACGACCTGGGCGGCTTCGCTGGCAGCGTTGGCTTCCTTCCTGGAGACTCCTGGGGCTTTGAGGGCGCTGATCGAAGACTGAGGACCGGTGGCAACGTTTGGCAACCGTATGCCACGTAAGTAGTAAGTGGCTAAAGCGGCTAATTTTGGTAAGGTTATCTACCACAAACAGCGTACCCACTCTATGCAAAATGATGTCTGGGACAGTGGGTTGCTGCCACGTCCCTGCCACATGAATGTGGAAAAAATGCAGTTGCTGCCACGCGCTTGCCACATGACTTTGTGGCAATACTCACTTGTAGCTGCCACAGCTGGCACGGGAAAACGGGTTTGCTGCCACATGTCTGCCACACAAGTTTGTCTGCAAAAGACTTGGAGCTGCCACGGGAAAACGGGTTTGCTGCCACATGTCTGCCACACAAGTTTGTGGCAAAAGACTTGGAACTGCCACGGGAAAACAGAGTTGCTGCCACATGCCTGCCAAACACAAACGGCAAGGGGAAAAAGGGGTTGCTACCACCTGCCTGCCACTGAAATGCATGGAAAGATAGGTTGGGATTTAACTAATCGTGAACTATTCGGTGAGCACTTGATAGCATTGAAATTGTGTACTTTATCTTTTCTTGACACTTGCTTGCTTCATTTGATGACTCCCTTTTGTTCACAGGTTTCAAAATTCAATCCGAAATGGAGGAACACATGTCATACACCTGAACACAGGGGCTTAAAAAGCAAGCAAACAAACAAACAAGAAGAACACAAAACCTTTGTAGTAAAAGATACTAGCAAAAACAAAGCACACAAAAACCAAACGATACATATCAAACGACGTAACTACAAACCAGGCAAGCAAGCATGAACACAGCCACACACACAGCTTACCAAATCCTGATCATTGTTGGGCATTTATGCCGGCATGGGTTTGGACAACCTGGATATATTTGATGAGGGAGAATCGGAAGAACCCATAGAGCTACAGCCAGAAGTACAAGTTCAGCAGTGTGCTCCACAAGAACAACTTGTAGCACAGCCCAACAAAGGTTGCCAATATGTAGCGGTCAAAGGCCATAGCAGGAATGTCCGCAAAGGAAAAGCACTTGGAGTGAATCCAAGAGGTAGTTTTGCGGAGAGACGTGCATGGAACCTGCATATGCAGGTCAAAAAAGCTCAAAAAAGGATGTTGGTATGTGAGACTGATGCGTTGGAGATGCTACACTCACTGCAGACCAGGTCCAGAGAGAGAGTTCAGATTCAAAAAGGGAAAAAAGGCAACCTCTTCTCAAAGAAGAGGTTGGTGCAAATTTCTTACTTGAAAGCACCAAGTGGAAATCGCTTTGTCTACAAGTACTCCATGAGCGATTTTCTCGAATGCTCTTTTGGGGTGGATACCAAACACGCTAAGCGGCTGACCGCAAGAAACCATCAAGCTCTTGCCATGAACGCTGCTCCAAGCACTATAGCGTACATGCGAACTGTCGTGTGTGGGTCGGTGCTCTCGCGTCAGTGTGGATTATTGGGGCAGCTTCTGGCACTTTGCAGGGCCAATCCACCTACTGCGGTTGGTTTGAGAGAGAGCTTTGACGAGACTGTGCAGATTGTGACAGTGAATCAACAAAAAGGTGGCTACCAGGTATGTGTGCTGCGGCACACGCTAATCATAGCGTGGGGCTCCGGGCTGCTGAGAGTACCAATCATTCTACCTCCTCTTTTGGTGAGGTCTCCTTCTGCAGAGCAATTGCATCCTGAATGGTATTAGTCATTAGTCATTAGCCGGTCACTAGTTTTTCTGTTGTTACTTTTGGCTGTCAACAACCCACAGCGTTACCGTTAATCCCCTCAAGTTTTGCCCCACCCACCCACTGGCAGCCCAACCCAGGTTTTATGCGATCGAGTACCACCCGCAGATCCAAACAGTGAAACAATTGGAGCGTGCAATCATGTCGGCAGCCGCTGAATGCTTGTTCATTCAGGAGACGGACAGTGCCAGCGCAAACGATCGCTTGTGGCATCACCGATTGTCCTCCAAAGACAGAGTTCTTCGAGAACATGTGGTGTGCCACAACCACCAGTGCAACCTGGTTGAAGTATCGGTTGTGGCGACAACACATGCCCGTCTTATTTCGGACTTTTTTGGCTTCTCCCACTTCCTACAAAGTTCCAGTCACTTTGCAAAGTTGAAGCAAGCAGTCACTGCGCATATACAGGAAGCAGCCACCATATTTGTTTGCCAGACCATGGACCAGGTGCAAGAATCGACCAACACGAAGTACCTGGACGAATTGACCAGCATGTTGCTTCAAGCTAGAGTCTATACTACCAAAGCAAAAAAAACTGGTGACGCAGTCGGTTCTGATGATACAGCAGGCTCTGCTAACGAGCTTTCAGGGTTCAAAAAGAAACTGGCAGATTTCAAGACTGTTTGGAATGGGAACTTGTCGTCTCCTACTGGCACCTTTCAACACTACTGCTATCGGGCTGGCCCTGCTTCCTCTTGGTGCTGCCGTTCCGATGAGGAATCTTTTGCCAGAATGGCAAAGACAGTCTGTCAGGCTCGATCTGGTTGCGCTTGAAACGCAAACAAAGAGTTTTCCTTGCATTGGGGTTCCCAAAGTCAGCTACCACCCAAACTCTCTCCCTCAGCTACCACCCACAGTGGGTTGATGGCGTTAAAAAACATCATGCGCCGTCTTAAT